AGATTGTTGTGTCTTTAGGGAAGACAGTTTTGAAAACTGAAACATGCAGTTAGCGAAAAGGAAGGATGAATAAAAAAGAAGTTTGCCGCAGAAGTAGTAGGCTTAAGTCAGATAATATGCTATTTAACAATCATGCTGACACTGTGGCTGCAGAGAGATGAAGCTGTGCCGTTCTCTCTGAAAATCACACTGATTTAATCCCATTTATGTGTAACCAAAAACAAATCCTTACCCAGTGTCTCACTTTACTTCATACGTATAGATTCATAAAATGTGTCTCTGTTTTTGAGCAGCCTTTGACAAAGTCTGATGCCAAGTCTGTGTAAAAATAAGAGTTTGCAAAAGGTGCACATGATGTCCATTTGACTTAGAATGTGAACAGCAAATCCCACGAGCGCACCTGTCTACTCGTTCACTGCTCACTACTTATATAAAACACAAACAGCATTCTGCATTACATTTTTATGTCTGACACTTATTCATAATTTATATTTGTGTCAGCTGTTGAATCCTGCAACGTACATTCTGGTATCTATTAAATGAGCTGCATGGACTGGACACATTTAATTGTGGAACTATATAGTAAAAAGGGGAAAGGCTCTCGTCATATCTGTATACTATGACTATCACATATGGATCTGGTGCTCGGGGCCTGTTCTTGTGCTGCCACGATGAAAACCTCTGCGCTGTCCTTCAGCCCGGCCTTGTTCTAGTCACTGGTAGGATTCCTTGATGTGGCCACACATGATGATTAAAGGATAACTGTAATTTCTGGGTGATTCATCTCAGCAATGTTAAATAGCAATTTTTTGCCTAAGATTTGCTAACATTAGCCACCTTAAGCGAGCAGTCTTAGCAGATCATGTACAGCTTTACCAGCAAAACCCCTGACTGTCCAGCATTCAACACAAATATTATGTTTTTATCAACTCGTAAAAAATGTTTGCCAAAGACTAACCCCTTTATAAAAAGATATATGTGAGACATGACAGTGGTGATGGAGCAGTTTCAGTACTAAATAGTCCTCCAGATGGATGTCTAGTGGAGGTGTGTGTACAAGAAGAATCATTTTTGTTATTAGTTATCTATATGGATGTAAGGTATTAGCCCAGAATCCAAGCTATGATATTTGCTGAGGTGTTAGTTTCAACCTAATATATTAACATCAGCCCTCATAACCCAGATTTGTTGCATCTTATTTTGACACGCATACACAAAGTGGTAAATCCCTCCTGTCTCCGCCGCAACTGCCGCAAACTACAACAAGTATTAGAGCTCTCTGACTGACTGACTGTACATCTGGCTGTCTGACAGACTGAAGCTTGCATACATTCCCAATCAGCGCTCCCACCGCCGCCCCCCCACCTCATCTAGGCCATCACGGTGGCTTAATGAAGGACAGATCTCCGCATGTCGCAGACCAGGAATGGTTAGAGTTACACTTTCTGCTGAGGGGGAGCCGACTGGAACCAGCGTAAGTCAAAGATATTGCAGGAGAAAGAGCGCGAAAGCCGGAGTGGGAAGGGTGGGAGGCAGTATGATATTGATAGAGACAGAAGGAGGGAAAAAGCTTGTGCCATGTGGTCTGCATTTCGCCCTAATCCCTGTTCTAGCCTGGTGTTCCTGCCTCCGCTCCTTCTTCAACCTCAAACCCAATCAGGCAGTTGCTGAAACCCGAGCGGCCGCTCTTGGTTCTTCCCAAAACCAGACTACCAGGATCTCAGTGCCGCGGGAAACACCTCCATCTATCTCTGGTTGATATACTGTATGCGCTGATATATGGTGCATAAATTGTATTTATAGGTGTCAAGGGTGCAGGGAAGGACCTCGGGGTGTAATGTGCTGCACACACACACAGAATGCTGCACGGTGCAAACCGTGGCCACATAATAACGCAGCTGAAAGACACAGGAAATGGACGATTTTATTGAAATATGTGTATGTCTGTCAGCAGGGTTGTGTGTGTGTGTGTGTGTGTGTGTGGATCTCATGGCCTGGTGGTGGAATAGGATCTGCTCTGTTTCACTTTCCATCTTTTTGTCCTCTCATGTTATTTCTTTTTTTTTTTTTTTTTACTTTTTGGGCAACATTGTGGCATTCTTTCTATTTCACACACACACACACACATGAACACACACACGCTTTTGAAAGAAGTGACACCAGTCATTTTCGACACAGCATATATTCCGTATTAACATACATTCATAGGCAGTATAGTCTTCTTCAGTGTATAAGTCTTTACAGATCTACAGTATGTTTCTATAATGATAGCACGTTATTATAGGAAAGCTTGGCTTTATGGTGATGGTACAAGACAACAATAGAGTCCTGACAGTGGCATGGGAAACTGGCTGTGTGTGCGTGTACAAGAGAAACGGGGCAAACTAAACATGTGGTTGGGTGTTTGTTGCTGTGGGGCAGGGCTCTATGTGCGCTTGGAGAGAAAGTGCTTCAGTCATCATGCATGATGTACATGCTTGGCAACCCTCTGGCAGACCCCTTTGTGTGTGTGTGTGTGTGTGTGTGTGTGTGTGTGTGTGTGTTTACATTGTGTGTGTTTGCTGGTGCATGCATGTCACTTTGTGTTTACTGGTGTTTGCATTAAGCCAACTAGCGTTTGGCAGTGGCAACATGCAGGCAGGAGGAGGCCAGGATCAACGTCAATCCAAATGAGCACACAAGACTTTCTCAATATGATGTTCTAAAATAACAACAACTCATATTAAATCTGATCTGGAAACAGTTTTGGATTGTGAGGTTTCTGGTTTTTTACGTTGCAGGTAGCAGCTGTGGGTGAATACGGGTGTTGTTTCGGAGCAATGTTTGCTGGGTATGTGTGTTTTGTTTGTCTGATGCCCATCACCTGCCAGTGCTAAGGGCCTCCAGGGAAAAAAAAAACAGACAGGAGCTGACAGTGGCTTTGACCTGTCCATCATCATCCTCCCTCTGACAAAAAAAAAAACAAAGACAGTGAGCGTGTGTGAGTGGAGCAGCATCAGGGCATTGCAGGGGGCAAAATAAACGTCTCGACGGTCACTGAACCTCAGCACAGCACAGCCACGTACACACTTGGAAAGCAAATCGCAGAAAGTGCATCTGCGACGTGTTCCTCTTTGTTGTTTGAGTCCGTCCTCTCCCATCGTCTCCCTTTTTGACATCCAGCACTCCGAGTGAGTCCCCAAAGCAGCAGCAGCAGCAGCAGCAAGGACCGAGGGCGAGCAGCCCTCCTCCTGACCCCACCCCAACCCCTTTAAACCCCGGCCCCCCATCTGCCCATCCATGGGTCCAGTTTGTCCCTTATCATCTCCGCTCGCCTGCCCCTCCTTCTACGACCGCCCCTGTCAATCGCCTCAGTTTCAACAAATAAGTTAAACATTACAAAAATAAGAAGCATCAATGACAAACCAAATATGAGCGTGAGGGAGGGAGACAGGAAGTGAAAGATACTCTCTACTTGAGAAGAAACAAACAGACTCTGTAGCTTTGTAGGAAATCCCATGCCTATTCTAGTGATATCCATTACGGTGGCATAAAATGAATGATGTCGGACCTCTCAGCCACTCAGTCTGTTTCTGCTGACCAGTAGTAGGAGGGTGAGGTGGTTTCAAGCCGCAGAAGAGGGAGCAACACAAGTCCTCCTTTCTCCCTCTAGCCTTTAATCGAGCAGGAGTGTGGGGCATTTGTTTTTGTCCATCAGCAGTGCCCTCTGTGTCCCGACCCCCATCACCGGCACGTGTGAATCTCCACGATTTTGCGGCACTGTTTGCATTTGACGTAACAGCACCAGTGGAACTTACAGCTGCACCTGTCCACCACCTCCACCTCCTGCGTCTGGAATCCGCGGCCGCAGCACATCAGCTCGCAGCCGTCGATGGCCTTTGAGGTTCTGTTACACTGACGGCCAACAGTGCCCAGCATGCCCGGTGTGCGTGGATCGTATTCGCAGAAATCCGGACTGGGGTCCAGGTAGACCAGATCTTCATCTGTGTGAGGTTTGAACTGGGAATTGCGGGGCACCAGGACCTTGGACGTGCCCATTTTACGCTGCTCCACCTCAGTGGCGCCGTCGAACTTCTCTTTGATGACGTTGCCCACTTTGCGGAAGGGTGGCATGGCTTTCCAGCAGGTCTTTACTTCACAGGAGCCTGACACGCCGTGACATTTGCACTCCACGCGCATGTGGGACAGGATGGCCTGCAGAGATGCCAAAGAACATTTGGTTAGCTGACATAACTTAAAGGCTGCTGTGGAGGCCACCATCTATTTATCTTCCACTGACTGGGCTCCCAGTAACAACTACAACAAACTGTCCTACTGCTTCCAGAGCTGTGTGCTTGAGATTGGACTTGAGCTGGTTTTGTGTC